ATCTATTTCAAGAAGAGCTTTTGCAGTTAAATCTTCACGTCCGAGATATCCAGCAAAGACACCAAAGCCTCCAACAAATAATTCACCTTCTTGGGAATCGGTGACGGACTGTAAGAAATCATTCATTATTAAACATTTGTAATTTGGAAACGATGTACCGATCGGAACAGTATTCATATTAGACATTTCATTAACTAAATGATATGTAGTTCCCAATGTGGCTTCCGCCGGGCCATACAAATTCCAAACCCGACAAGATCTCACTATATGATACCTCAATACTTTCATTAATGAGAACAACATAGGTTCACCTAAAAGAATATGTGAATGTTAATCTAACTTCTTAAAACTAACTCACCGACACAGCAAATATTTCTCATTGACGTCCATGAGTGAATCGTACTCTGCTTGATGAAGTTACATAAGTAAGTGAGAAACGAAGGGACAACTAACAAATGCGAAACTTGCTTCTTATGTAGATAGTGACTAAGATATGCGAAATCTGTATTGCCATCAGGATGCAGCATAATTACTATTGCGCCAGAAACCAAAGTAGCTAAAATTTCTTGTACATGTGCATCAAATGCCGAAGTAGCAAGTTGCATGACAATGTCATTTTTATGCAGAGCACCAATGTGTATGAAAGAATGTGTAAAATATATAAAATTGTGATGTCTTACTGGAATCTATAGGAAAAAAGATCAAAATTCAAGAGAGCATCATGTAATGAACCCTAAAACATACTGGTTTTGGTATTCCAGTGGAGCCACTTGTGAAAATAATATAAGCAATATTACTTGATGTGACTGTAATACTTGATAATAGATCAATGGTAACATCACTGATTATATAATTATTAATCCATGTTGAATAAATGTCAATCGAAACAATTTCATTATTAAATTTCGTTTTTGTCAACCAATGAACCAGAACAAGACGACTTTCAGTTTGTTTCATAAGTGTATCTAAACGATGTTGTGGATCTCGAGGTGACAATGGACAATAGACGCCACCACTCATTTCAATTGCCATCATACCAATCACCTATACAATATGAAAACATCAATCATACTAAATATCAATCTCAAGCAACAACTCACCATTGAGAAACTTCGCTCAACACATTGACATATAATTTCACCTGGAACAACAGCATATTTGTTTATAAGATATAGAGATAATATTTGTACATAATATAAAAGTTCAGCATATGTCAAAGATTGTTCATCCAACTCAACAGCTAGTTTTTGTGGATGTTTCATTACTTGATAGATAAATTCATGATGAATACAAGTGAGAGGAGATGAAAATGATATTTGTGTATTATTCATTGATTGCACGACTAATCTTTCACTTGGTAGTGTTAACGATACTTCATAGATTGATTTATTCATTTGATCATCAACACATGTAAATAATTGATTCAGCATTGAATGAAACCGTTGAGATATCTTATCAATTGTTTCTGCATTAAATAAATCAAGTGATGCATTGATTGTGCATGAGGGTTGATTGACATGGAGATCATGTTGGATTATAAGTGAGAAATCATATTCATCTGTAATCTCATTATTAGTAGTGTTCATTGTGAAAGGTATGGAACAAAGTTGGCTATCACCAATCATTACTAGTTTATTGTCACTGTTTGTCATGGACGAAAGAAATTGAAACGATATATCAAGAAATGCTGGTTTTGAAGTATTTGCATGTTGACTAAGAATACGTCGAAGAGGAAAATAAGAATATTTCATACTGTTAGTTGTTGTTTCTCGAGCATTTTGAACAAATTGGCTTAAAGACCAAGCAGTATCTAGTTGACATCGTAATGGAATGACATTCTCAAACAATCCAGTAATAGATTTGAGTTCATCTCTATAACGATTGTCGATATTCATTGAAATACATAAATCTTTTTCACCATTCGTTGATTTAAATAAAAAGATAAAGTAAGTAGCAAGTGCTAGATGTTCATGTTTGATATTTTTTGATGAAGCATAGGTAAGAAAATGATGTGAGAGATCTTCACCAAAATCAAAAGAGATAGATGTTGCTCGATTAGTTCGATGTTCATTTGAGAGACGATATCGATCATATGGCAATGATAAAGATTGATCAAGATGATAATCATAAAGTGTATCAAGCCAAAACATACTTGCACCAGTCATTGACATTTGTTGTTCAATAACAGCATCTATTATGTAATTAAAGAAAAGAATGTATGAGAAAAGAAAAAAAATATAAAAACTAATTATATTTACAATCAAGATAACGTAGAGTAGTGTTGTCATCATATAATAATTGACCTGTTGTATATGCTTGATTGAGATCATGAAGAAATATGTTTATCGAAGGAAAATCAAACAAAGCATGATGAACATTGAAAATGACCATATCCTGATCAGAAAGTAGATGTTTTGAAGAGATTTGTTTGTAGTAAACGAGATGACATCGAAAAACAAGACCTTGAGCAAGATCGAAAAGATAAGGATTACGTCTCTCGTCGTGTAAAATTTCATTGAGTTGTTCTTCTGTTTCATAAGTAGTTTCGGTGATTGAAATTATATTATTATTCTTATCTTCATGAGTAGTCACTCGTTGCATAAGTAGACTCTTTTGAGTATCAAAATGAAGTGATGTATGAAGTGATGGATGTTTGTTGACAGTAAGATGAAGAGCGTGCCGAAGTTGTTGAATTGATAAAGTATGACCTGGTTGGAGACGATAAACAAAAGGCATATTATAGATTGCTATTTGAGACTTGTCTGGATCAAATCGAATTGTTTCGTCAAGCCAAATACGAGCTTGTGCAAATGATGCCGGTGCTATATAAAAGAGAAAGTAATCAAAAATGATTAATGATATTGCTTGTGAAAATGTTTGGTTGTGTGAGTTTCAATTGTTTTCGAAGTGCTCTAAGAAGGGAACTTTTAAATAATATAATTAATGTTGCTGTTTACGAGAGACAGGTGTGCTACTATACTAATCATTCATTAGAAACTTGAAATAAGC